TTTTGTGAGTGTGTTGTTGTGTTGTTTTTCATTTTGAGTAGATACGTTTGTACCTTGTGGGTTGTGTTATGGGCATGGGAATTTTGGTTAAGTTTCGTTGGGGGTTTTTTTGAGTTTTGTTTTTTTGCCGTTTTGAGTGTGTTGTTGTGTTGTTTTTCATTTTGAGTAATATGTTTTTACCTTGTGGGTTGTGTTATGGGCATGGGAATTTTGGTTAAGTTTCGTTGGTTTTTTTAAGTTTTGTTGTTTTGCCGTTTTGTGAGTGTGTTGTTGTGTTGTTTTTCATTTTGAGTAGATATGTTTGTACCTTGTGGGTTGTGTTATGGGCACGGGGATTTTGGTTAAGTTTCGTTAGGGGATTTTTGAGTTTTGTTGTTTTGCCGTTTTGTGAGTGTGTTGTTGTGTTGTTTTTCATTTTGAGTAGATATGTTTGTACCTTGTGGGTTGTGTTATGGGCATGGGAATTTTGGTTAAGTTTCGTTGGGGGGTTTTTGAGTTTTGTTTCCTCGTTGGATGCCCCTAACAAATTTATATATATAGATAGAGTTGGATGCATTCTTCTACAGACAGTAACATTTCATGTAATAGAGTAGTTTGTTTTCAAAATCAATGAGGCTTTTGGTTTTTTGGTCACTCTGTTTGTATCCCGCGCTTCCTTTAAGGAATTCAGTTCAACATAGTTGGGTGATTTTATAATAAAATAGACTAAATTACATACTGAAAAGCATTGTTTTTTTTTTAACTGCCTGTTTTCGGAGAAAAGTAGTGACAATAGAAACTTGTGATAGAGAAATGTCATTTAAATTGGTGGATTAGATTCAGATTAGAGAGATGGGCCAAAACTAACAAAATGAAGTTCAACAGTGACAAATGCAAGATACTCCACTTTGGCAGGAAAAACGAAATGAAAGATACAGAATGGGGGACAATGCCTGGCTTGAGAGCAGTACGTGTGAAAAAGATCTTGGAGTCCTCGTGGACAACAAGTTAAACATGAGCCAACAATGTGATGTGGCGGCAAAAAAAGCCAATGGGATTTTGGCCTGCATCAATAGGAGCATAGTGTCTAGATCCAAGGAAGTCATGCTACCCCTCTATTCTGCCTTGGTTAGACCACACCTGGAATATTGTGTCCAATTCTGGGCACCACAATTCAAGAGAGATATTGACAAACTGGAATGTGTCCAGAAGAGGGAGACTAAATGATCAAGGATCTGGAGAACAAGCCCTATGAAGAGCGGCTTAAAGAGCTGGGCATGTTTAGCCTGAAGAAGAGAAGGTTTAGAGGAGACATGATAGCCATGTATAAATATGTGAGAGGAAGTCACAGGGAGGAGGGAGCAAGCTGTTTTCTGCTTCCCTGGAGACTAGGACGCGGAACAATGGCTTCAAACTACAAGAAAGGAGATTCCATCTGAACATGAGGAAGAACTTCCTGACCGTGAGAGCTGTTCAGCAGTGGAACTCTCTGCCCCAGAGTGTGGTGGAGGCCCCGTCTTTGGAGGCTTTTAAACAGTCTGGATGGCCATCTGCTTTGAATGCAATATTCCTGCTTCTTGGCAGGGGGTTGGACTGGATGGCCTATGAGGTCTCTTCCAACTCTATAATTCTATGAAACCTTTGCTTGTGTGTTGTTTGTTGTGACATTATAATACTCCGTTTTGACTTTTGTCCCCATTGTATGGGCATATTCTGAGCTCAACCCTAGACATTGTTGAATATGGCCTTATTCTTCCTACCAATTACCCAGGTCACTTCCTCTAATAGGCCCCGGAAATGAACAGCCATAGAACTTTTGAGCTTGCACTAATCTCGCTCCGGCCTTTTAGATTGCCTTCAACAGGATTACTTTATGTATGTGTGTGTGTTATGGCAACAATTTCTATGCTTATATTGTTTTATTAATCTTATGGTAATGTTGTTTACTCGTTATGTATTGTTGATGTTACTTGGAAACCGCTCTGAGTCTCCCCGGGGAGATAGGGCGGTATATAAAGTTTTATCATCATCATCATCATCATCATCATCAGATAAAGTATAGGATGGTGACTAGGGTGGTTGCTCTTACATCCCAACTCCAGCATTTAGTCCACTTCTGGCTTTGGCTTGGGCAGTTGCATTGGCATAACTACCTAAATTAAATAAATAGTTTATGCAGTAGCCAATTAGCTGCATGAGTGCATCATAACGTTTAGCCGTCTTGTTTCAGCCTAAGAGGATTTGCATGGGTTCTTCTGTTCCCCTCTTCTTGGCCATAATACCATTTCAACAATAGCTTATGGAAATCAGGTTGCATGCTATTTTCATTTACACGCATACATAAGGTAGTCCACACTGTTGCTACATCAATGATAGACTACTACAACTCACTCTAAGTGGGGTTACCCTTGAAGAGTGTTTCGAAGCTTTAAGTAGTCCAGTGGGTGGCAACCTGATTTCTAATTGGGGCAGCGTACAGAGAGCATACAACTCCCTTGTTACGCCACCTCCACTGGCTGCCAGTCTGCTACCAAGCACAATTCAAAGTGCTGCCCTTAGCCTATAAAGCCCTAAATGGTTCTGGCCCAGCTTACCTGCCTGAATGTATCTTCTTCTATGATCCACCTCAGAGATTAAGCTCTTATGCACTTGATTCCACCTTCCTTGCAAGCATTACTGGTGGGGACGAGAGACAGGGCCTTCTCAGTTACTTACTTACTTACTTACTTAGGCGATCCTTCGTTGGACGAGTAAGATGGTCTTCCATTATGGATTTCCCTGTGGGTCCGTATGTGGCTGTGGAGCCCTATTCTTACTCTGCATCTTCTTCCGCAGTGAGGGCATTGGTTTCCAGGTGGAAGGCGGTCCCGGTCGGGGTTGGCTTGACGCGCCTTCCTCCTGGCACGTTTCTCTCTTTTGCCCTCCACTCGTGCCTCCTCAAATTCTGCAGCACTGCTGGTCACAGCTGTCCTCCAGCTGGAGCGCTCAAGGGCCAGGGCTTCCCAGTTCTCAGTGTCTATGCCAGAGATTTTAAGGTTGGCTTTGAGCCCATCTTTAAATCTCTTTTCCTGTCCACCACCGTTCCGTTTTCCGTTCTTAAGTTCGGAGTAGAGCAACTGCTTTGGGAGACGGTGGTCAGGCATCCGGACAACGTGGCCGGCCCAGCGGAGTTGATGTTGGAGGACCATCGCTTCAATGCTGGTGGTCTTTGCTTCTTCCAGCACACTGACGTTTGTCCGCTTGTCTTCCCAGGAGATTTGCAGGATTTTCCGGAGGCAGCGCTGATGGAATCGTTCCAGGAGTTGCATGTGACGTCTGTAGACAGTCCACGTCTCACAGGCATAGAGCAGGGTTGGGAGGACAATAGCTTTATAGACAAGCACCTTGGTCTCCCTACGGATGTCCCGGTCCTCAAACACTCTCTGCTTCATTCTGGAAAATGCTGCACTTGCAGAGCTCAGGCGGTGTTGTATTTCGGTGTCGATGTTGACTTTGGTGGAGAGGTGGCTGCCAAGGTAGCGGAAATGGTCCACATTTTCTAATGTTACACCATTAAGCTGTATTACTGGCATTGGAGAGGGATTGGCTGGTGACTGCTGGAACAGCACCTTGGTTTTCTCAATGTTCAGTGACAGGCCGAGCTTCTCATATGCTTCTGCGAAGGTGTTTAGAGTGGCTTGTAGATCTTCTTCTGAATGCGCACAGACGACATTGTCATCAGCATACTGGAGTTCTATAACAGATGTTGTTGTAACCTTGGTTTTGGCTTTCAGTCTGCTGAGGTTGAATAGCTTGCCATCTGTCCGATAGATGATTTCCACTCCGGTGGGAAGCTTCCCATCAACAAGGTGAAGTATCATAGCGATGAAGATGGAGAATAGAGTTGGGGCAATAACACATCCCTGTTTGACACCTGATTCCACCTTAAATGGGTCACTTTGGGAGCCATTGCTGTCCAAGACTGTTGCCATCATGTCATCATGGAGGAGCCGCAGGATGTTCACAAATTTGTTAGGGCACCCGATTTTTTGGAGGATGGTCCAGAGAGCGCTGCGATTCACTGTGTCAAATGCCTTTGCAAGGTCAATGAATGCCATGTACAGAGGTTGATTTTGTTCCCTGCATTTTTCTTGGAGCTGTCGTGCAGTGAAGATCATGTCCACGGTTCCTCTGGAGGGGCGGAAGCCGTTCTGGGATTCTGGGAGGGTGTCTTCTGAGAGGGGCAGAAGGCGGTTTGCAAGGATTCTTGCGAGGATTTTCCCAGCGGAGGTTAGAAGGTAGATACCTCAATAGTTTCCGCAGTCTCAGTGCCTTCTCAGTGGTGACCTCTCAGCTGTAGAACTCCCTCTCTAGCAGCCCCCGCCCTCTGACAGTCAGGAAGAAAATAAAAATGTGGTTATGTGACCTAGCTTTCGGACAGCAAAGCTCGTAGTGCAATAAGATAGTGAGGAATAGTGAACGGACCAATGGAACAACTACGTACTTGATTTTGGATGGCATGATTTTAATAACTGTTCTTAAATCGTGTTGTTTATTGATGTGTTTTAATGTAAATGTTATTATATTTTCAATGTTTAATTTTTAATGCTTTATGTCAAAATGGTCTTTTATGTTTTTGTCTGAATTTGGTTAGGTTAATTTATAGTTATATGTTATTGTCTTGCTATTATCTTTTGGTTTTCACATGTCTGTACAGCATTGAATTTTCCCTTTATAATGTTGGAAACCGCTTTGAGTTCCCTTAGGTGGAGAAAAGCAGTATATAAATGTAGTAAATAAAACAGCACAATCTGTTTCTTAATTGTGAAATTATATTTCTAATTGTGGGTTATTATTGACCAAGCACATCTCTCCAGATAAAGTGAGGTATGGCTGTGACATATGGCTGTACATTTTACATAAACTTCTGACATTTTTTTTAAATAATTGGTACAAACCAATCAAATGTCAAAATATAGTTCAAAGATGTAGCTAGGGATACCTGAGAAACCTGAGACTGATTATCTCTTCCTTCCATTTAGCTGGCTTGTGGACAGTGTTCACCTTAGGAGGAGTGGGCAGCAAGCGAGCCGCTCAACAGGAAGAGTCTTCCCCTCTAGCTAATCAAAGTCTTCTGTTGCTACTTGCATTAGCAAATCTGACAGATGCACCAGACACACCGAACCCTTACCGGCAAGCTATTATGTCCTTCAAGAACACACAAGGTTGGTATCTCTTTAAAATGTTTCTATTGATCTAGAATCCAAGTAAGGACTTTTATTACTTTGGGTCAATTGAGAGAAATCTGCATCAGATTCTTCTTCCCAGAAACCCCCTGCATGGCAGGAAATTTCTCACCACTTGACCTGGTGGCCCCACCCCTGGATTGGCCAGGTCCGGCTTCCCTAAGTCGGACAAGGCATTTCTGATTTTGAAACCACAAAATGTATAAAAATAAAAATAAAAAATATTAATTTTAAACCCTATCCGCGAAACAGCAAGTCCGCGAAAAGCAAACCGCAAAACAGCGAGAAAACATTGTATAGCCAGTGGGAGGGTTGCCACCTCAGTTCCTTCTTTCTGCCTCACTTGCAGCAGTAGGAACTTCTCTCTTTGCTCTTCTTAGCTCTGACTGTTAATTTGACTCCCTCATCAAAATTTTGGACTTGACTATGAACTTCTCTCGACTACCCTTAGCACACTTAGTATTCACTGAATACAAAGTGTTATGGAGAATTCAGATATAACTTAATTTAGTCTTAAGTAAGCAAACAACAAATATAACTTGCTGTTTAGGAATTTGAGTTCTAAACTATTGGTCCTCAACTGGTAGGTGGGCATATGCTATTACTGCTTTGCATCAATGGCTTTACTACTAAACAGATATGTGTGTGTGTGTGTGTGTGTGTGTGTGTGTGTTTTGGAAAAGAAATGGGTTCACAAAGATATGCCTAGACTCAAGGTAGATCTGTTAGCTAAAAGCTGTTGATCTAGACCAGTGGTTCTCAACCCGTGGGTTCCCAGGTGTTTTGACAACAACTCCCAGAAATACCAGCCAGTTTACCAGCAGGTTGGGAACCACTGATCTAGACCCTTCACTTTAAACTTCTTCTGATATAAACTTCACTTTATCAGGCCCAGTAAAAAGTTCCACTCAATCAAGCCCAGTAAGAAGAAAAATACAAAATAAATGTGCTGAATTATTTTAAAACTTCTATCTTTTTTGTTCCTTTTCCAGATAGCACAGTTCTTCCATCACCAAATCCTCATGCTTTCCAGATTAACTTCAACAGTTTATATACCACTTTGTGTGAACAGCAGAATTCTGATCAAGCAACTCTCCTTTTGTACACTCTGCTGCACCAAAACAGCAATGTTCGAACGTACATGTTGGCTCGAACAGATATGGAAAACTTGGTAAGTAGTGTACAGAATGTCCCATTGCTTCTCAAAGTTTGCTTGTTGTGTAATCTTTTGTTCTGGTATTGTGACTGTGAGGAACAGGTACTGTGGTGATAGCCAAGCCAGGAGATATTTCCTGTACTCGTTGCTTTTTGGAAATGGGTATTATGGATTTGTGGATTGTGGTGGAGAGTGATAAATTTTTGCAGTTATACATATAATATTGATAATATTATAATGTAATACAATATACTAATAATAATAATAATATATTATAATTATATATTTTATATTAAATGGAATATTACTAATAATATTACAATATAACATTATAGTACAATGTAATATATAATATTAAATGGAATATTACTAATAATATTACAGTACAACATTATAGTACAATGTAATATATAATATTAATATTGTGCTATGGTAATAATATAATATATTGTATTTACTTTTTTACTTGTAAGCCGCTCTGAGTCCCCTTCGGGGTGAGAAGGGCAGCATATAAATGTCGTAAATAAATAAATAAATTGTGGCGGAGATCCATTTCCGCAATATGATCTGTTTGTCAGCATGTGTGCATTTTTCTCATGCTTCTACATGTTTTTGAATGCACTGTTTCCACCTTCCCTGTTGCACTTTAGGCTTTGTATTTATAAAACCACAAGCGGTAGTAGTATAATTTGGAACTTTTAGGCAGGAACATACCTATGAATTGCACAGAGAGTGTGCATGTCTCACTGTGGCAAAATCAAGACAAGTCTTCCACTCCACACACTTCAGCAATAATAACTATTATAACACAGTGTTGCATCCCCATACTACTCTTTACTAGACCAGCTATGGATAAATACTTACATACAAGACTGGAACATGAAGGATTACTGTTTGCAGAACAGCAAAATATTACAAGAATTGTAATGTCTTTATGAGGATGAAAGGTTCTCATAAAATTATTATGTGAGCTTAGAAAAATACATGCAAGCAGTACTTGAGTTATCAAGAGGGAAGTCGGAGGGGGAGGTAGGTGGGCTCTAATAAAACCCAGAAGCTTCACCCCATTTCTCCAATAGTAGCCACATCATGGCCCCCTCTGGCCTTCTAAAAGCAATTGCTAAGGGAGCCATTATGAATGGGAAAGAGGCTGGGCCCCTTTGACCACCCACCCCTCGGTAATTTGAGCCCTGCCCAGAATTTGTTCCTCGGGCAGAATGCAATTACAAGTAAGCGGGGAGCAATGCATGTTTCTGGGAGAAAGAATATCCTTTAGTCCTATTAGCAGTCGGTTCCAGTCTTTATATGACAGTAGAAAGGTTATTAATTTAAAGCATTCTTCAATAAGTTCCGTGCCAGAGGAGCCACGGCTCAGGAACTTGAGTCAAGACCTTTAATCCACCATGAAGAAAGTCACAGTGCATTGTAGTCTCTCCCTTTCCCCCATCTTGTTCTGGTGAAATGGGCCAGGGGAATACAGCTGTTGTGGTGGTTCACTCATATTATGTCAATAATAATAATTGTTATTATAACAAGTGTTCGACTTGTGATTTTGTGATACGAAATCCAGCATATAGATCTCATTTGCTGTGACATACTGTGTTTTTGTGTCAGTAAAATAATAATAATAACAACAACAATAATAATAACAACAACAACATTTGGCCAAGCCCAAGAATTACAATAAAGCAAAGTAAAATATATACAACAGGTAATACCATCAAAACTTTTTTTTAGTCTCCCAATTTTTTTTTATTTGGTACATCCCAAAAATCAACAAAATTTTGCCATACATGACTTATTTCAATATACATAATTCCAAAAGTAAATATTCCTTTAATGACATTTATACATTCCTTAGTTATGTATCGTCCAACACTCCCGCTCTCCCCCCATTCCCCCGGAACAGCAATTCTGAATGATGTAATTGCATCAATTTCACCATGTAGAAAGCTTGCTTCAAAATGCTATATCTGTCATCTCCATCTATTTTGGCATAAATAATGGAAGACAGTGGGCTGGGCCAAATGAAAGGGATAAAATTATAAAACCCAGGATGAGATAGATAAATAGAGTAGTGTATCAGATGGGAGATTCGGATGGGACAACAATGGGGTTGATTTTCATTAGGAGATGAGATAAAGTGCATCAAAAGGACAAATTTGTACTGGGACTGTCATGGTCACTTGGGACGTAGAGTAGATTAGGGTATAAAAGTGCCAAGTACAGAATCTATAGCCAGATGAAGCAATGTTGGAATTGAGTCAAGATGTCTTTCCTGGTACTTGGAAGCCTTGCTTTGGTTAGATTCATGTATTAAGTGCCTTGTTTGATTTCATGATTCAAATTTTGGAGTTTTACCGTGGAAGTTTCTCGTGAACTCTGATGCACTAATTTCCTGGACTAATGGTTTCTGCTTATCTTTTTACCTAATTGGATTTACCTATTTTTATGGAGTGTTTTTTTACTGCTACTGATTTGTAATTATCTTCAATAAATTGCTTGCATTTTTACTCAGCTTTGTGGTGTGTTAAGTCAGAGGGCTTTCCTGGCCTGGAGTGCAACAATAGAATTGTGCTGGAGGATTTAGTATTTCCTAGACAGAACACTTCTCTGGGCAATAATTTGAAGGACAAAAAAACCCTGCATAGGTCATCTGCTTTAATTAGAAGGGTCATAATTATCTTAAAACAATTTAGAATAAAATATTGGTAAATATTAGATCCTGAATACTTTACCTCTCAGAACAAGCCCGCCATATAAAATACGCCAGGAGATCTTAAAAGCATTATTTGTTTATTAGGAAGTGAATGCTGAGTCTCCCAGCAGACACTTTTTTCCTGGCAGCAGAAGAAAACAAACAAAATGTGGTTTAATAGTTTGTCAGTTGAAGTTTATTTATTCATTAGTGTTTGTTCTCTTCCCACAGTTACTGGTTTAGGTAAACCCAGGATGGTCTAAAACTATACCTGCGCCCGAATTTTTAAATTCTATACAGATGTGTTGTGTTTTTTCTTTCTTTTTTAAGGTTCTTCCAATTCTCGAGATTCTTTATCATGTTGAAGAAAGGAATTCACACCATGTTTACATGGCTCTGATCATTCTGTTAATCCTTACGGAAGACGATGGCTTCAATCGATCTATTCATGAAGTGGTAAGTTGTGAGCGGTGACAAAATGTCTTTTAAGTCATAGCTACCAATACCTCTTGGATACGCTTTATATTTTATTTCCAAGTTCACCGAGATGGCTGTCATTATTTCGGTTCAGCTGTTCCTTGCAGATTCAATTATACTTTTCAGCTTAGACTTTTATAACCCTTCTTGTCAAATAATGGAACGTTCTTCCCTCTTGGGCCACTTGGATAAGTTTTTCCTTGAATGCTAAGTTTGAATAAAGGAATACACAGTAATTGATTTACTTTTATAAATCTGGTTAAATCAATATTGGCAGAGCATATGAATGAAATAGACTTTTGTCTGAGCTTTAATTGCACAAGTTAATGACATCTCTGTGGACTTCAAGGTATTGAGATGGTTCCACAATGTTAGTTGCTACTGAGAGCCATGTAAAATTAGTTATTATTAAATTATCCCACTGATTCCAGTGGGACCTGATGCAATTTAATTTGGATGCAACATTTCTACAAGATTCTATTAAGGCCAGTTTTCAGTTCTGTGCAATACAGGATCTTCACTGAAAAATATTAGAATGAAAGTTGGTGTGTGTGTGTGTGTGTGTGTGTGTGTGTGTGTCAGGAACAACTGTGTATGTCATGTTCTAATCTTAACTCCATAGAATGATAGAATCAAAGAGTTGGAAGAGACCTCATGGGCCATCCAGTCCAACCCCCTGCCAAGAAGCAGGAATATTGCATTCAAATCACCCCTGACAGATGGCCATCCAGCCTCTGTTTAAAAGCTTCCAAAGAAGGAGCCTCCACCACACTTCGGGGCAGAGAGTTCCACTGCTGAACAGCTCTCACAGTCAGGAAATTCTTCCTCATGTTCAGATGGAATCTCCTTTCTTTTAGTTTGAAGCCATTGTTCCGCGTCCTAGTCTCCAAGGAAGCAGAAAACAAGCTTGCTCCCTCCTCCCTGTGGCTTCCTCTCACATATTTATACATGGCTATCATATCTCCTCTCAGCCTTCTCTTCTTCAGGCTAAACATGCCCAGCTCCTTAAGCCGCTCCTCATAGGGCTTGTTCTCCTGACCCTTTATCATTTTAGTCGCCCTCCTCTGGACATATTCCAGCTTGTCAATATCTCTCTTGAATGGTGGTGCCCAGAATTGGACACAATATTCCAGGTGTGGTCTAACCAAAGCGGAATAGAGGGGTAGCATTACTTCCCTGGACCTAGACACTATGCTCCTATTGATGCAGGCCAAAATCCCATTGGCTTTTGTTGCCGCCACATCACATTGTTGGCTCATGTTTAATTTGTTGTCCATCTTTTGTGTCTAGTTTCAAGAGTGCTAAGAGTGAGCCTGTGCTTGACGGGGTTACACTCCCCCTGAAGGCGCAGGTTCGCAGCTTCAGAGTGATCCTGGACTCACTGCTGAGCCTGGAACCCCAGGTTTCGGCGGTGGCCAAGGGAGCTTTCGCACAGTTAAAGCTTTGTCTGACTTGGGCAGAGTGGTCCACACTCTGGTTAAATCCCAAATAGACTACTGCAACTCACTCTACGTGGGGTTGCCTCTGAAGACTGCCCGGAAGCTCCAACTAGTCCAACGCTCAGCAGCCAGGGTTTAACCCATTGCGTCACTGGGGGCATGAGTGAAGCTGCCCAATACCTGCTTTGTTAGATAATTTTAGCAACTTTGGAAGGAAGCAATTTTCGTCCGAAGGTTGAAGACAGACGGCAAAATTAATTAAGACAGTCTGCACCAAGCTGGGCTTTTGGTCCTCTCCTTCAGCGCACATCCTGCTCTTATAAATGTATTGCCTGTGTTAGCCCTTGAATGTATTTTCCTTTTGTGGTCCTACACCCACACTTATTTATTGATAGTTAAGATTAATTTTAGTAAGTACCGTTTTGTAAATCACTGATTATATAGACTCTTACCTGGGTTCCCCAAGGAAGCCACAAATGCTTTCCTGTCTGGTCAAAGGAGTTTTGTTTGAAAATAAAATGTGGTTTTGACTTCCTTGGAAAAAATATTTAAGAACAAAAACAAATACGATCTCTTTCTGTTATTAGCCTCACATACGCAGTTACCTGTGCCCATAGTCAGCCCTAATAATGGGAGTAGTAGCTATTGAGTAAGACGCTGTTTTCCTATGGCTTTTGCAATTTCCATTCTGGTTACGTGGTTCTGCATCTATTATTGTCAGAATAAATTTGCGTTCAGCCAGGCATTAGGGCGTAATCCTAGGGGATGATCAAAGTGACTGGTATTCCACTCCTTGTGAGATAGTTGATTTATTTGCATGTGGTCATCTCCTTCCTTTTCTTTCCCACTTCCATTGCTGTTGTTATAGAGTAGCCCATCTTTTGGCATCCTTCTCTATTGAGGAACCCACAGGGCCATTGAATCCTGACCCATTCTGGAAAGACACACAAGCTGTTTTACTCAGGAAGTCTCTCCAGAGAGAAAATGACACTCCCGTTCAGATGTGCATTTTAACAATTTACTTTCCTGTCATGGCAAATGCCTCACCGTGTCAACACTCTGGGAAGTAGCATGAGTGGATAAATGTAACTCCTTATCCTCCCAGAACTGCTGGGGGAGATTACCATCGTTACTTCCTATGTTATTATGGAAGATTTAGCCACTGAGCATTGCAGTATGGCAATGGAGACCAGGGTTTGAATTTTTGCTCAGCCATGGAAAACCACGGAGTGACTTTCATTCCTCGAGGAAGACAATGGAACACACCTCTGAAAAAATATAGCTAAGATTACCCTGTAATAGGTTTACCTTAGGGTTGGAAATGACTTTAAGGCACATAACACAATTGTAGACCTTTCATAACTTGTCTGCTTGAGCCCTAATATACCCGTAGCCCTCTTTAACATTACAGATGTGTTATAACATAATAATAATAATAACACTTTATTTATACCCCGCTACCATCTCCCCAGAGGACTTGGTGCGGCTTACATGAGGCCGAGCCCATCATGCAACAATACAAGCAATAACAACAACAATACAAGCAATTTAAAAACAACAAAACAATAAAACAATAACATAGCATTATGAATAGGACAACACACTTTAAAATCTATGGGAAGGCCAGATGTAGTTAAAATTAAAAATAATGCTCGACATGGGCGAAAAAGTGATGGGGCAGTTGGAGGAAAACATATAGGGAGACCTACAACAATGTAAAGTGCTTTGGAGGACAAAAAGCTAGGGGATCGTTGTTCTGGGAAGGCACACTGGAACAACCATGTCTTCAAGCTCCTCCTAAAGATTTCCACAGTTGGGGCATGCCTGATGTCCTTAGGGAGTGAGTTTCAGAATCGAGGGGCCACCACCGAAAAGGCTCTCTCTCTCGTCCCCACCAAACGCACTTACGATACAGGTGGGAGCATGAGCAGGGCCTCTCCAGATGATCTGAGGGATTGTGTGGGTTCGTATACAGAGATGCGGTCACGAAGGTAGGCGGGTACCAAACCGTTCAGGGCTTTGTAGGTGAGAACCTGCACCTTGAATTGGGTCCAGAAAATAAATGGCAGCCAGTGGAGCTCCTTAAACAGGAGGGTTGACCGCTACCTGTAAGGAACCCCGGTTAACAACCTGGCTGCCGCCCGTTGGACCATCTGGAATTTCCGAGCCATTTTCAAGGGCAGCCCCACGTAGAGTGCATTACAGTAATCCAGTCTAGAAGTGACTAAGGCATGGACCGCCCTGGCCAGATGTGTTGTGTGTGTTCAGGGGGTGGGCACACTCCTCAATTCCTGGACACACCTCTCCATCAGGACTTTTAATATTCAAGCCTAAGGCTCATTTATATAATAAGTTATAGCTCTCCTTTTATGAAACAGCCATCACAGTCCCAGTCATATGCGAGAAAACAATGATACTCACTAGCTAAAGAAAATAAGATGTGATTTTTTAATTTTCATTTTGTGTCTTTACAGATCCTGAAAAATATTACTTGGTACTCAGAACGTGTGTTAACGGAAATTTCTTTGGGGAGTCTCCTGATACTGGTAGTAATAAGAACAATACAGTACAACATGACAAGAACAAGGGTAAGAGTTGTATTCTGGGTTGCATTCCAGTTCCCAACAAATAGTAATCATAATGATAGAAATATTTATTATTTATTTATTTATGACATTTATAGCCCGCCTTTCTCACTCATACGGCGACTCAAGGCAGGGTTACAGATTGGCACGATTCGATACCATGCATTCAGAAAAGTGCGATTAAAAACAGTCAACATAACAATATGAAAACATATCTAAAAACCATTAAAAACATGTAGTCACCAATGTCATCTAGTTAAAATAATAATAAAACTTTATTTTTACCCCGCCACCATCTCCCCAAAGGGACTCGAGGTGGCTAACAAAGTACTCAAAGTGCCACACATATAATAGAATTACATATCATCAAAACTATACGCAGTTTACAACAATGAATAACATTGATTGATTAAAACAAAATTTGTAAAACACAGACCTACTTGCAGGTCATTGGGTTTCTTCAAACACAAACTACAGTGCCGAATAACAATGCTCAATGTCATCACATGACCACAGTGCATTACTACAGGTCAAAGGCCCATGTAAATAGCCATGTTTTTAGGCTCGAATGGAAGGTTTGGAGACTTGGGGTTAATCTAATCTCTAGGGAAGGCATTCCAGAACTGGGGAGCCACCACTGAGAAGGCCCTCTCTCTCTCGTCTCCACCAATCACACCTATGATGGTGGTGGGACCTAGAGAAGGGCCTCCCCAGCCGATCTCAAGGCCTGCACCAGTTCATAGAAGGAGTTGCAGTATTGAAGAAACAGTGGTGGAGAAGTGAGAATCCTGTTTAATATGTGGAGCAACCTTAGACATCCAGACCAGTAGCCCATTATAGCCTACTATGACTGGTAATAATTTTCTAGCACATTGGCAGGATGTTTTCCCAGTCCTCCCAAGTGAGGTTCTTTAAGGTTGATACTAAATCACAATATCTGTGTCCAGTTTTTGACCCTTGCCCACATCTCAAATTGTAAATAAATTGTGAAACTATAAATGCATATTATGTATACTTCTAGTAACTAGAATGTTAGTTGTGTTGTTAAAGACTTTCATATCCGGAATCACTGGGGTGCTGTGAGTTTTCTGGGCTGTATGGCCATATTCCAGAAGCATTCCCTCCTGACGTTCGCACACATCTTTGGCAGGCATCCGCAGAGGTTGAGAGGTCTATTGGAAACTAGGCAAGTAAGGTTTATATATCTAGGGTGGGAGAAACCTCACAACCTCTGAGGATCCCTGTCATAGATGTGAGCGAAACGCCAGGAGACAATGCTTCTGGAACTTGGCCATACAGCCCGGAAAACTCATAGTAACCTATTTTAATTTTCAAATAGACACATTTTATTTGGAATATTATTACAACTTTGAAGCTAAGTAGGAAAAATTGCAATATTACAAGCCTTTCTTTTTAAATAAAATAAATATTGAAGGCTGAAAAATAAAGAAAGCCTACCAGAGGCAAGGTTGCAATAAAGACACACCAAGCTTGTGCCTCTGGTAGGCGGATGTTGGAGTATTGAGTGATTTCCTTCTTGCAAGCCTTGCTGCGTACAGAAAGGATAGTCTGATGTGTGTTTTCCCCCATCCCTTCCTCATCTCCTACAGGACAAATACCTTCATACAAATTGTTTGGCAGCTTTAGCCAATATGTCAGCACAGTTCCGCTCACTTCATCAGTATGCCGCTCAAAGGATCATCAGGTAAATACAAGCCTTTTACAAAATATTTAAACTAGCTTCATTCTAAATTCTGCCGGAAAGATACCTGAATTTCCAATTACCTGATGTGAATAGCAACCCAGGTAAATTCTATTTGGTTTCATGGAGTCTGAAGTGCAATACAGTGTGCCCCATTGATACCATACCTAGTTACTAATGGTAGCTTCTTATGCCAGGCGGAAATTGGTAACTGGATAATACAGAATAGGAAATGCTAAGTGTTTCTTTGCCCACAATAAAAAAAAGCTGTCACGTACACACTAGGAAAAGTGCATGTAGTTTGTATTATCTATTGCAGGGGTCATCAAACTAAGGCCCGGGGCCCGGATATGGCCCTCCAAGGTCATTTAACCGGCCCTCACTCAGGGTCAACCTAAGTCTGAAATGATTAGAAAGCACACAGCAGCAACAACAATCCCATCTCATCAGCCAAAAGCAGGTCCACACTTCCCATTGAAATACTAATAAGCTTATATTTGTTAAAATTGTTCTTCATTTTAATTATTGTATTGTTTTTAAGTGCTTTTTTGCACTACAAATCAGATATGTGTAGTGTGCATAGGAATTCATTCATGTTTTTTTCAAATTATAATCCAGCCCTCCAGCAGTTTGAGGGACTGTGACCTGGCCCTCTGTTTAAAAAGTTTGAGGACCCCTGATCTATTGCATTGGATAGATTCACTGGTGTGTTATATAAGACAAGTGTTGTTGTCGTAGATGCATACAGATACATGGTTTCCTAGCTGTAGAGGGCACAACGTGATTAGAGCCTACAAAACGTCTTACTTGTGTGAATATTTATTTATTGTGTCAGGAGCAAACCAAACAGTTGTATTGCATTTTTAAACAAATAAACAAAGCACAAAGTTTGCAAGCTTGGTAGTTGATTAAATGTTCTTTGACCAGTAGCTGGCCACTTGGAGTGCCTCTGGTGTTACTATAAGAAGGTCCTCCATTGTGCATGTGGCAGGGCTCAGGTTGCATTGCAGTAGGTGGTCTGTAGTTTGCTCTTCTCCACACTCGCATGTCATGGATTCCACTTTGTAGCCCAATTTCTTAAGATGGGCTCTGCATCTTGTGGTGCCAGAGCGCAGTCTGTTCAGCGCCTTCCAATTTGCCCAGTCTTCTGTGTGCCCAGGGCCGGAATTTCTCATTTGGTATCAGCCATTGATTGAGGTTCTGGGTTTGAGCCTGCCACTTTTGGACTCTCGCTCGCTGAGGTGTTCCAGCGAGTGTCTCTGTAGATCTTAGAAAACTATTTCTTGATTTAAGTCGTTGACGTGCTGGCTGACACCCAAACGGGATGGGCCGGAGATGTCTCTGCCTTGGTCCTTTCACTATTGGTTGCTACTTCCCGGCGGATTTCAGGTGGTGCAATACCGGCTAAACAGTGTAATTTCTCCTGTGGTGTAGGGCGCAGACACTCCATGATAATGCGGCATGTCTCATTAAGAGCCACATCCACTGTTTTAGTGTGGTGAGATGTGTTCCACACTGCGTGGATGAATCTTGACCTTCATTATTGATGTTCAAAACTTTGTGATGAATCCTTTCCACATTGTATTGTCGAAGGCTTTCATGGCCGGAATCACTGGGTTGTTGTAGGTTTTTTCAGGCTATATGGCATTCTCTCTTGACATTTCGCCTGCATCTATGGCAAGCATCCTCAGAGGTAGTGAGGTGAGGTTTCCACATTTTTTTCTGCATGGGGATTCCTTTCTATTAGCGTCAGACCTGGCTTCCCTTCCATCCTGCAGCTTTCTGTGGTGCTGAAAATGCATTCTGGACCCTTCACAACCCTCTAAAGCAGATTTTTGTTTTTGTGAACCTAGACTGCTGCTTTCCCACTTTTGCTGAAGAGGCAACATTAGCCAATGGAAGTAGGCTTTTGAATTCTGATGAAGGGGTTTATATGCCTCTGCCTTCAAACCCCTCTACTTTGCAAAGGATGTTAATGTGCATTATCACCTTATTAATCAGGTCTCTGTGTCCCTTACTGTTGCCATATGCCAGCTAGAAGGGTGAATGGGCTGCCTCTGTGTTCAGTATTGGGGAGGTAGTTAGTAGTAGTTGAGGAAATATTACACACGGTTGTTAATTTGTGTTACAAATTTCTAATCCCAGAATTCTCTTTGGAAAGAACCAAGCATTCCTTAGAATGGTGACTTTCAATATTTGGTTCTCCAGATTTTTTGGGCTTCAACTTCCAGAAGCTCTGAACCATTGGTCAACTAGATTTGGTTTCTGCAAGCTGAAGTCCAAAGTACCTGGAGGACAAAAAAATTGGCTACTTGTAGTTGTTAAAAAAGTGTGACTCATTGAACATTTAATAGAATCACAGAATCGTAGAGTTGGAAGAGTTCTCATGGGCCATTCAATCTAACCCCCTGCCAAGAAAAAGGAAAATCGCTATCAAAGCACCCCCAGCAGATGGCCATTCAGCCTCTTTTTAAAAGTCTCCAAAGAAGGAGCCTTCACCATACTCCGGGGCAGATAGTTCCACTAGTGAACAGCTCCTCATATTCAGGTGGAATCTCCTTTCCTGTAGTTTCAAGCCATTGTTCTGTGTCCTAGTCTCCAGGGCAGCAGAAAACAAGCCTGCTCCTCCTTCCTATGACTTCCCCTCACATATTTATACATGGCCCTCATGTCTCCTCTCAGCCTTCTCTTCTGCATGCTAAACATGCCCAGCTCTTTAAGCTGCTCCTCATAGGGCTTGTTCTCCCTTGATCATTTTAGTCACCTTCCTCTGGACACATTCCAGCTTGTCAACATCTCTCTTAAATTGCGGTGCCCAGAATTGGATACCACAATTATGTCTGAAAGGTATAGTATACTACTCATGGCTTGCAAGAAGCTGGAATAAATTAAATGTTCTGGTTAGAAACAGAGGATTATTTGCATATTGTGGCAGCATTAAAAATATATCATGTATATTCTAATGCATGTGAGTCCTTTGTATGTTTGCAAGTTGTCTTGATCCACTCTCTGCTTAATCCCTTTCAATGAGATGTGTGTGTATCTCTCATTCCTGTCTTTCCTTTTATCCTTGCCAATTTCATCCAATCTGAAAGTAGCCTTGACTTCAGCAAGGATATACTTCCTCTTAATACGTTTCACGCCACAACGGAATGTCAACTTGAATCTGAGGCTCATGTGCAATTTCCAATTCCAACCAAAGTAGGACTATTGAATCCATACATTGGCTCAGCATTCAGTCGCTGGTTTGTGAGCCTTCCCTAACTGGGATTATTTTCTGTCTATTCTAACTAGCATCAGTGGTATCTTCCAAGCCAATAAATACCCATCATTTGCAATTTCCAAATGATTTGCAGTTGCAGTGGTCTATAGAGATACCATTCCTCTGACCAGGGCCCGCATCCCACAGTCAACAAAATTTGAATGCGTCTACCTGAGGGTGGGAGACCGGGACAGATTAGGGATTCTGTTAGTGTACCGTCCACCTCGCTGCACTACAGACTCCCTGACTGAGCTAGCGGGGGTGGTCTCGGACCTGGTGTTGGAGTCCCAACGGCTGCTTGTGCTGGGGGACTTCAATATCCACGCCGAGTCCGCCTCATCGGGAGCGCTCAGGACTTCATGTCTACCATGGCAACCATGGGGCTGTCCCAACAAGTATCTGGCCCCACCCACAGTGCTGGACATACATTGGACTTGGTTTTCTGTCAGGGATGGGAGGAAGGTGGCGGTGTTGAGGAGTTATCCATCTCTCCGTTGCCATGGACCGACCACCACCTGGTCAGTTTTAGACTCACTGCACCCCCTAACCTCCGCAGAGGTGGAGGACCCATTAAATTGGTCCGCCCCAGGAGGCTTATGGATCCGGATGGATTCCTGATGGCTCTTGGGGAATTTCCCGCCACCGTGGTTGGTGATCCTGTTGATGCTCTGGTCGCTCTCTGGAATGGGGAGATGACTAGGGCAATAGACACGATCGCTCCAGAACGTCCCCTCTCAAGTAGCCAAGCTAAACCAGCCCCTTGGTTTACCGAGGAGCTGGCAGCGTTGAAGCGAAAGAAGAGGGAACTAGAGAGCGTGTGGCGTTCGGATCCGAGCGAGCCAAATCGAACACGGTTTGTGTCCTTTTTAAGGGCATATGCCGCGGCAATAAAAGCCGCAAAGAAAACTTTCTTTGCGGCCACTATTGCGTCTGCAAAGAACCGTCCGGCTGAACTGTTTCGAGTTGTCAGAGGCCTGTTAAAACCCACCATTCAGGATGGGTGCCCTGATGACTCGGCAGCTCGCTGTGAAGCCTTTGCTCAGTTCTTTGCAGACAAAGTCGCTTTGATCCGCTCTGGACTGGACACCATATTAACGGCAGTCTCTGAGGATGTAACACGAGCATCTGCTTGTCTGGTTTTAATGGATTCATTTCAATTTGTGCAATTCAAGGACGTCGACAAGATTCTTGGAGAGGCAAGGGCAACCACATGCATCCTGGACCCCTGCCCATCCTGGCTGATAAAGGAAGCCAGAGGGGGGTTGGCAGAGTGGGTCAAGGTGGTGGTGAATGCCTCCCTTCAGGAAGGCAAAATTCCAGCCAGCTTAAAACAAGCTGTAATAAAACCACTGTTGAAGAAGCCATCACTGGACCCCACTCAATTCGTCAACTATCGGCCTGTTTCCAATCTCCCCTTTTTGGGCAAAGTCATGGAACGTGTGGTGGCCTCACAACTCCAGGCATTCTTGGTAGACACGGATTATCTAGATCCGGCACAGTCTGGCTTTAGGCCGGGGCATGGTACCGAGACAGCCTTGATCGCCTTAGTGGATGATCTGCGTCGGGAGCTCGACAGGGGGAGTGTGTCCCTGTTGGTGCTGCTCGACCTCTCAGCGGCCTTCGATACCGTCGATCACGGTATCCTTCTGGGACGCCTCGCGGGGATGGGTCTTGGAGGTACTGTTTTGCAGTGGCTCCGCTCATTCCTCGAGGGTCGGTCCCAGATGGTGTTACTGGGAGA